TTTTAATTTTTCAATTCTTCGATATACCGTTTTCGTTTCGGTATTTTAATTATTTCCTTTTTTTTAATTATTCGATTTTTCAATGTTTCGGTTTTAATTTTTTTTCAGTTTCTTCTTTCTTCAATTTTTCGATTTGCAATTCTTCACTTTTTCATTTTTTTGTTTCTTCAGTTTTTGATTAGCAATTTTTCCAGTTTTCATTTTAAGTATATTTTTTAAAATTTCTCATTAAATTTTACGATTTTTTTCCATTTTTCAAATTTTGGATCTTTCAAGGTTACAGCTTTTCGAATTTACAATTTTGACAGTCCTATTGCAATTTTTCGATTCGATTCGTTTTTTCTTCAGACCAATTTTTCAGTTCTTCCGTTTTTCAGTTTTTCGTTTTTCCAATTTCCGATTTTTTAGTTTTTTGATTTAAAATTTTTCGAATTAACATTTCTCGAGTTTTCAATTTTTCGTTCCTTTGATTTTTGGTTTCTTCAGATTTTCGATTTACAATATTTTGTTTCTTTATTTTTACAATTTCTCTATTTTTCAATGTTTCGATTTTATAATTTTTTGTTCTTTCGAAGTTGTTTTCACTTTTTTGTTTCTTCAATTTTTAGATTTGCAGCTTTTCAAGTTTTCATTTTTTTGTTTCTTCAGTTTCTAGATTTTGGAAGTTTTCGAACTAAAATTTTTCGTTTCGGTTTTTATTTTCGTTATTCTTATAATTTTTCGATTTTCAGTGTTCCGAATTTACAATTTTCTATTTTTTCAATTTTTCGATTTACATTTTGTCGGGATGTCATTTTTTTTTGTTTCTTCAATTCGACTGTTCGAGTTTGACTTTTAACTTTTTCAGTTTTTATTTTCTTAATGTTTTTTGTTTTTTTAGAATTCTGATTTTATCATTTTTCCTTTCTTTAATGTGAAATTTTTCAGTTTTTGGAATTTTCAATTTTTCGAATTTTTAGGTACAAATTTTTAGTTTTTCAATTTTTCAACATTTGAATTTTTCATCGTTCAGACTGCAGTTTTCCGATTTGAGTTTCTGGAGTTATTAATTTTTAGTTTTTCAATTTTTTGATATGCGCATTTTTCGTTTCGGTTTTTGTTTCCTTTATTTTTTTTTTAATTATTCGATTTTCAATGTTTCGATTTTATGTAATTTTTTGTTTTTCGATTTTGTTTTCACTTTTGTGTTTCTTCAATTTTTAGATTTGCAGTTTTTCAAGTTTTCATTTTTTTGTTTCTTCAGTTTCTAGATTTTGGAAATTTTCGAACTAAAATTTTTCGTTTCGGTTTTTATTTTCGTTATTCTTATAAGTTTTCGATTTTCAATGTTCCGAATTTATAATTTTCTGTTTCTTCAATTTTTCGATTTACATTTTGTCGGGTTGTCATTTTTTTGTTTCTTCAATTCAACTGTTCGAGTTTGATTTTAAAATTTTTCAGTTTTTCGATTTTCCAGCTTTTGGATGTTGCAATTTTTAGTTTTTGCAATTTTTCGAATTACAATTCTTCGTTTTGGTTTTTTTTCTTTATTTTTTCAATTTTTCCGTTTTCGGTGTTTTGTTTTATATAATTTTTTTTTCAATGTGAATTTTTTTCATTTTCAGAATCTTTAAATTTTAGACTTTTCAGTTTTTAGATTTTATAGGATCTTACAATTTCTCCTTTTTTTCAATTTTTCGTTTCTCCAATTTTTGATTTGCAATTCTTCCAGTTTTCATTTTAAATAAGCTTTTTAAAATTTTTCATTAAATTTTACGATTTTAGAATTACTCCATTTTTCAATTTTTGGATTTTGAAACTATTTCATTTACTCGATTTTTCAATTTTTTTATTTTTAGTTTTTCGATTTGTAATTATTCGGGTTGTATTTTTTGTTTCTTCAATTTGACGATATATATGTTCGAGTTTTCATTTTTAAATTTTCAGGTTTCTAATTTTATAATTTTTCTTTTCTTCAATGTGAAATTTTTCAATTGATAGGTTTTTCAATTTTCCGAATTTTTAAGTTTAAATTTGTCAGTTTTTCTATTTTCCAACATTTTTGAATTAATTTTGAATTTTTAGATATTGCAATTTTTTGATTTGAGTTTCTTGAGTTTTCAATTTTTAATTTTTCAAATCTTCGATATGCAGTTTTTCGTTTTGGTCTTTTATTTCCTTTTTTTTAATTATTCGATTTTTCAATGTTTCGGTTTTAAATTTTTTGTTTTTCCGACTTTTTTCAGTTTCTTGTTTCTTCAATTTTTCGATTTGGAATTTTTCAATTTTTCATTTTTTTGTTTCTTCAGTTTTTGATTTGCAATTTTTCCAGTTTTCATTTTAAATATACTTTTTAAAATATCTCATTAAATTTTACGATTTTTTTCCATTTTTCAAATTTTGGATCTTTCAAGGTTACAGTTTTTCGAATTTACAATTTTGACAATCCTATTCCAATTTTTTCATTCGATTCGTTTTTTTCTTCTTTCCAATTTTTCAGTTCTTCGTTTTTCAGGTTTTCGATTTTTCAATTTTTTGGTTTTGCAATTTCCGATTTTTTAGTTTTTTGATTTTAAATTTTTAGGTTTTCAGTTCTCAATTGTTCAACTTTTCAAATCAAGAAATAATTAAAAATACATAATTATATAATTGAAAGATCAAAAATGGAAAATCGAAAAACTATAAAATAAAGACTTTGGAAATTAAAAAATTGAAAAATCGAAAATCGAAACATTAAAAATTGCGAAAGTTAAAATCGAAAATGTACATAATCGAAACAATGAAATATCTATTGTAAAATCGAAATTAGTACTGAAAATTTAAAAAATTGAATAGACGAAAAATTATAAAATCCGAAGAAACACTTAAAAAAGAAAGGAAATGAAAACATGAGACATTGTGATATTAAATCGATAAAATGAAAACTACAAAATGGGAAAAAGAAAAATAAAAATAAAAAACTTGAAAACCTGAGGTAACGAAACTGAAAAATCGAAAAAATTTTGACCTCGAAACATTAAAAAATGGAAAATCCAAGAACGAAAGAAAATAAAAAACGAAAAATTGTGACATTAACAAATTGGTCGAAAGTAAGTAAATCCAGATTTTTATATTCGCGAAAATATAGTCATTGTTAATTTTGGAAGTGACTTCATCCCATTATATCCCTAATAAACATACAAAATTTGACAAGAATCGGTCCAATAGTTTTGGAGTGTACGTGTCTAATAAAAATCGACACAGACACTACACAGATAGACAGAGAGAGAGAGACGGAAACGGGAGAGGAACATAACGAAAATTCGTAAAAAAGATACTTCTACTAATTAAGGAACTGAAAGAAATTATTGTAGACAATGCAGACAACACCTGAAACAAAGACACGGAACAAGAAAAAACAAAGGATGCCAGAGATTTTAGATTGAAAAAGTTCTTTTATATCTAACCCAAAGTTTATGTTTAAATTTGATTTCAGTTAAAACAGACCTGGAGGAGCTTTAAATTTAACTATACGAGAACAAATGTATATTTTTGGAGATTAATACAACGAAAAATATTGTGCCAAACTTGGTGAATCATTGTTGCTTTAAGCTTTGGACTTGGTAATAGAACTTTTTTTTCTGAATATCCACTTTTTCAATAAATATGTTCTAAAAAACTTCGCACAAGCCTTCAACAACAACTGACAAAGAATTCCGCAGAATTGCAAATTTCGGAGCAAAGCGGAGGGTGGAAGTTACTTGTGGTCTGGATAATCCTCCGGTAAAATTAGGGGATGTGCAGCAATTAGTACCCTAGGTGGTCATCCGGCTGAATATAAGATTACATTCAACAGAATTCGATTCGAAAGTTTTTCTTTGATGTAAAACACTTTGATCTTTGCTTTACAACCAGCAACAAATATTATTATTAAAAATTATCGTCTCTAAGAAATTGGCAATTAATGTTAGGAATGACTTTGACAATAGGATGGATTTTTATTGTGTTTTTTATCAGTGTATTTGTCAGTGTTATTATTACTATTACTCAACAATAATGACTCTTATCGATCCAGCCTTCTATATTTTTGTGAAATAGTTGTAATGTGCACAATACTTAGTAACATGATAAACAACAAACACAGAAAATTTAAATTCATGTTCGTATGTTAAGCTTTTAGTGATAAGCAGAATCACATTTTGCCATGTCATTGTCGATGTGTTTGTACTTTAACGACGCTTCGAAAAAAAAACAAAAATTATTTTTTATAAAATTTTTGACTAGTAATAAGTTAAGGATTAATGAAAAGTGACGCCAAAAATAAATCAGTAAAATGATCAGTCTCTCTCCAGAGTGCCAAAAAAATTTTCTTTTCTTTTTTTTCCTTCCATTTCTTCTCTTTCTTCCTCATTAAGTTCTGTAGTTTGCTTCTTTGGACGCTTGTTTCCAAATATTCGTGTCACAGATCCATTTTTTTGGAAAATTTTTAATAGTAGTAAGTGTTTATTTTTTACCCTACGGGCTTAAAAAGATTCTTGACACTACAATTTTTCCCTAGTTAACAAAAACCAAATAAATACATTTTATAAACTAAATAACTAATTTTTCTTTCCTTTACCCCATCCCCTCTTGCCCCAGCCTTACTCTTGTCCTCTCCACTTCTTTCATCCATTCCACTCCTCTTCCGCCTTCATTCAATATCTCTGTCACACTCTCCTCTCTTTCTTTGCTCTCCTCACAGTCATGCAGCATGTGCTCTATCGTCTCTCGCCCTTCTCCACACATCCTACGCATTCTTTCACCTTCGCTTACCCAAAACTTTTTATTTCTTTCTTCATTTCCACACCTAAATCTCGCAATTATTTTTTTTTCTTTCGCGCTTTCTTTGTCTAGGTACTTTGGTATTGTTTCTGTTATTACCTTTCTATAGCCAGCATTGTACCTAGAATTACTTACACTCGCTCTTCTCTCTTGTTCATCTATGTCTCTGTCACGCATACACAACTCTTCTCTCATACTCACACCCATTTCTCTCTTTCTCTCTATTTCCATCCATGTGTGTCCCAGTCTTTCATAATATCCTTGTCTACCTTTATGATGTTCTTTCCCTGCTTACTTTTTTTTTCCTTCCAGCATTCATACAATATCCTACATTCCTCTCTTTCTTTCAACCTTTCATCATACTTTACAGCTCTTTTCCCAGTGTATATTCTTAGTTTCTCTCGTTTACATTCTTCTCTTACTATATAGCCTGGCGTCTCTTTCCGTAGCCCTAACATCCACCTCAAATATTTTTCTTGTACTGCTTCAATCTCTGCATATTCCTTCCATCCCCATATCTCCACTCCATACATTAATACACTCCTAACTAAACTATCGAACATTTTCATCCTTCTTCTTACGTCATGTCCAAATATTCTCTCACCTATACTCCACACCATTCCCATTATCTGCATTGCTTTGACCCTTCTTTCTCGTATGTGTGCTTTTACCGTGTTAGTTATTGTAAACTTAAATCCTAAATATTTAAACTCCTTTACTGTGTCTATGATTCGATTTTTCCAACGCCACACTTTTTCCTCCCCTTTTCTCCCTTTTTTTTTAAACACCATTATTTTTGTTTTTTCTACATTTACCTCCAGTTTCTTTCTTTTGAAGTATCTTTGCAGATTTTTTTTCATCTCATTCATTCCACATTCATCTTTCGCCAATATTACCAAATCATCTGCAAATGCCAAACACCATACCTTTCCTCTCCTCACCACAATTCCTCCCGCTTGTACTCCTCTAAACATTTCCTCGATATCACTTATGTAACAAACAAACAGACTGGGACTTAATGGGCATCCCTGTCTCAATCCTTTCGTCGTCCAAAACATTTCGCTTTCTATTCCTCGCACTCTCACCCTAGTCACTGTCTCTCTATAAATCTCTCTTGCTGCTACAATTAACTTTTCACTCAGTCCTCTTCTTTCCATGCATTCCCGCAAACACTCTCTGTCCACCGTATCAAACGCGGCTTTTAGGTCTACAGACAGTGCATGTACCCGACCTCCTTCCTTTAGTAACTCTTTTTCTATTAGATGATGCAGGATATATACATTGTCCATAGCCCCTTTACCTCTTCTAAATCTTGCTTGACTTTCCGGTAATATACTCTTTTCGTTCATCTCTGTCACCAAACTTTCATTTAACACCATTGCGTAGAGTTTATATGCCGTATTTAGAAGAGTTATTCCCCGATAATTCTCTACTTTTTCTTTACTACCCTTTTTATGAATTGGACATATTTGTCCTACTCTCCATTCCCTGGGAAAACCTTTACCCGTCCACACATCATTCATTAACTTGCTCAATCTTTCAATCATCCCATCCGTCCCAAATATTCACACTTCGTTTACCAACCCATCCCTCCTTGGTGCTTTTCCCCTTTTCAGTCTTCCTACTTGTTTTCCTACTTCCTCTACTCGAATCTCCGCTTCCCTTTCTCTACCACCAATCCCAGTTTTACTATCTTGCACTACAATTCTCTCTTCCTTTCCATTCAACAGTTTCATAAAATGCTTCTTCCACTGTATTATAGGTATGTCTTCACTAATCGTAATTTTGTTCTTCCGTTCTTTATTTATATACTGCCATACCTCTTGCTCAGTTCTTATGGCTTTAATTTTTTCTTCTTCTTCTTGCTGTATCTCTTCTTTCTTTTCTTTGCACCGTTTTCTATAATTATTTTTTGCTTGCCAGTACTCTTCTTTTATACCTTTCCCCTTTTTCCACCTTCGTAAACATTTCCTTGCTTCTGTTTTTAAATCTCTGCATCTGCTATCCCACCATCTGTTTCTCTTTTCTGAATTTGTCGTTACAATTTCTTTTCTTATGGCTGCTTTTTCAATTTCTCTTTTTAATTCTTCCATTTTCTTTTCAGTTCCTTTTTCTTTAAATTCCACTTCCAACATTTTTTTTTTATAATGCTCAATTCCTTTTTCATTCCATACCCATATCTTCTTCTCTTTTCCTACTTCATTCCTTACGCATCCGCTCCCTCTACTTATGCCCCTCACTTTTACTTCTAGTGGCATATGATCGGAGTCCACTCTTTCTCCTATCTTGAATGTTTCTACCTCTTCTTCTGCTAATCCGTTTACTATTACGTAGTCTATTACCGATTCCGCTCTTTTACCTATCCAGGTAAATTTCCCTTCCTCGTCCCCTTCCTTCATCCCATTCAAGACTTCCCAACCTCTTTCTTCAATTAATTCCCATAGCAATTTTCCGTCTTTATTTTCTACTTTATCTTTCGATTTTCGTGTGTTTTCCCCGTCTTTTTCCCTCCTTTTGTTCCCTATTCTGGCATTAAAGTCCCCTCCTAACAATAGAATTTGTTCTTCGGGCTCTTCGATTTTTTCTTGTATTTCTTGTTTCGTGTTTCTCATTCCTCTACTATATATTTTGCAGATTCTCCATCTTTTTTTATTTACAATCAGTTTTCTTTCAACTAAGCCTTCCATTTCTATTGCCCCCTCTCCTATTTCTTTTATATCTTTTTTCACTCCTGTTATGATTCCACCTTTTGCTCTACCCTTGCGTTTTTCTTTTTTTGCCCCTTGCAATTTCCACTGAAATTCCTTTGGCAACACGTCTTTCAGTTTGTTCCAGTCTCTCTCTAGTATCCATGTTTCTGTTAGTCCCACAAAATCAAAATTTTTCACGTAGTTCCAAAATAAGTTATCTTTCTTTTTCAAACCCGCAATATTCCAAAAGAGTAATTTTAAACCACTTTTATCTTCCCCATTCTTCTTTCCCATTCCCCTATTATGTACAAAATCTACATTCTTAAACCTAAAGTCTTTATTTGTCCCATCATTACCACCCCTCCCCTTTGTGTTTCTTTCTTCGGTTAGTGCTGACTTGATTTGAGAAATTTTGCTTCCAATTTTCCTTTATTTTCGTTCCATATATACATTTTGTCCCCTACTTCCAGCTTCTTATATCCCACCCTTGTTGTGTATCCTTTTTTTCTTTCCTCTTTAGCCATCTCCCTAATTCCTTTTTGAATTTTTTGCTCTTGTACTGTCCAATCATTATCAATATATATTATCTTTCCTCTCAGTTTATTTTTATTCTTCATCACCTCTTGTTTTTCCTCCCAAAGCGTCTTAACCAGTATTTTCTTGCTTTCCTCTTTCCCTATAATTCGTATACTTAAGTAATGTTAGCAGCACACATTTATTAATTTTTTAAGAAATAATCACATCAAGTGTTTCATACATAACCTCAATCTTCTTTTTGAACCTTGGTCGCAAAAGTTGAACTTTACTACCTCTAACAAGTCGACAATTGCATGCTTCATAGCTACTAGTGAAAAAACTTCTATTCTAGTACTTTAGTATTTTTTGTGAAATAGTGATGTGCATAATACTTAGTAATATGATAAACAACAAACGTATGAAATTCAAGTTCAAGTTTGTATGTCAAGCTTTTACCGTGTCATTTTAGATATGTTTGTACTTTATTAACTACGTTTAAAAAAATACAACAAAATTGAAGTATTCAATATTTACTTAGTACTTATCAGAGTTATTTATAGAGTTTTTATGTAATAATCATTCATAATAATTGTAAGAATATGATCTGTCCTTAAAAAACAACGCTGGAAATGTGCAATTTTTGCGTTAGTTTAATAGGGTGCTATTTGGTGTTCCCTGCTTTATGTTCTACATTATTTTAGTTTTAGAGTTATTATGAAGTATTTTATTTCATTAAATTGGAAAACATAAAATGAGCAAACAGAAATAATATTTTACCATGTAAAAGCAACGCAATTTAAAAATTTAATTAGTGCAAAATGAACTTTGTAATTTATTTTAAACATTTACTCTCGCTTTTGGATATCAACATTTCATGAACATTATTTATCACTACTCTGTACGAGTATAATAATAAAAGTCAGTAAATCAATTTTTAATACGTGTTTTCCATTTGTTTGTCAATGGATATTTTTTTAAACAGATTATTATTATTTACAAGATCAGACTAACGATTGGCTCCATGTTTAATTTAAGATATCGTAGCAATGATTAAAATGTTAACCGTACACCGTACCATTGGTGTCAGTAGTGGGATTCAAGACCAATAATTGGACCTGGACTATGCACAGTCTCACATCATGTGCATCAAAACTTTAGAGCATCATTAGTCATACCCACTGATATCAGACGTAACAAACTAAATCTTATCTTCCGTTCAAAAAGCAACTATCACCGCCACATATAAAAACCCTTCGACACTCCATTCTTCATCAGTCAACCTGCAAGCTCTCAACCACCAAAATGTCCGTCGGAGGAACCTTCCAGCTCGTCAAGAACGAAAACTTCGTGGCATATCTCACGAACCTTGGTAAAACAACATCCTAATACAGAATTTTTGCATTGACTGACTAATTTGCTTCTGTAGGCATTCCCGAAGATAAAGCGAAACTAGCCGACTCACTCAAACCCAAGCTTGAAGTAGTCGTCGATGGGAAGAAAATTTCACTGAACAGCGACTCCGGAGTCGACAACGCTTCCTCGACTCTCACATTGGGCGAAGAAGTAGACGAACCCATGCCTAATAACATCACCCTCAAAGTAAGTATTAAATCTGGCGTCTTTTTGCTCTAATTAACGTTGCTTTGATTTTTAAGAGCACGGCCAAAATTGACGGGAGCACCTTGACTATCACGTCGAAGACGCCCAAAGGAAAGACTGGTTCCAGGGTCTATAAATTCTCTGATAGTGAACTCGTTCTGGTAAGGTGAAGTTTGACAGTTGAAGGGTTTTGAATATTTAAGGACTTTTTGCAGACGCTGAACGAGGACGGAGGAAGTGTTATAGCCAAAAGGTTTTACAAGAGGGTCTAGGATTTTTTATTTATTGGGTAGTGATTTAAGACTCATTTGTATATGAATTGATGGAATAAAACGAACTTAATGTTTAATCTTGTTTTAAGTGCCACTTCAGACCTTAATATTAGTAGATAGAGCTGCAACGATTATAGAGGAGATAGTTTATATAATTCACGCATTAAGATAAGATAATAGAACTAAAAATATAAAGAAAACGGTGAAAATGTAACAGCTCTTATAATTTCGAGTGTGCAATTATTAAAAAAGGTAGTTACTTCGGTTTCATTTCTTGATACTAAAATGTACTGTGGCTTTGATTCCATGAGCTCGAACATTTACATCAGTAGTACAGAATCTTCGAGTACCTTCAAGCATCAGACTCACGATCGTGGACGTTAACGAACCGAACGAATAATGCAAGCCGAAGAACAAATTCTAGAACGGGTCGAAGAAGAGCCCGACATCAGCACTCACCGACTTGCAGCTGAAGTGGGAGTTTCACAGTTTGTAACGCATCCTACACTAAAAGACCAATGCCTTCTTTGACAGCTTCCGTTGCTCAACGGTTAAAGTTACGTAAAAATCATGTATGACGAAATTGTTCCCCTCTAAAAGTTCTAAAGAAAAGTCCGGGACAGCATATGTCTATCTTTTAAGGTCGACTCAGTATAACCTTTTTTATGGTAATGAAATTTGTTCTAAAATAATAATGAATTATCTACGAACTCCTCCGAAACAGGTTGACCGATTTGTATGAATTTTTTTATGTATATTCGGTAGATCTGAGAATAGGTTGTAAACTATGTTTTATACCCCTAAGTGATAAGGGTGGCCCACCCTAAAAATTTTTGTTTATTTTTGGCAAAAATAAATACATATAACCCTAAATTTTCACCTTTCTACCACCAACCTCCTTTTTTTAATCTTCTATATAATAAAAATCAATTGCAGTTCCTGTTAGTCTCGCTAAAACTCAAAAACGGCTTGACCGATTTGAGGATTTTTTTATATTACGGGGATGGTTTATAAATAAAAAAAAATAGGGAAAACTTAAATTTTCCCTTTTTTCTGGATATACGCAACAATCTTTTCACAATAATATATTTAAAACGTCTAAAATGGTAAATTTTTGTCGGGAGACATCGATTTTACAATTAAGCTCCTCCCCTCAGTCTGACAACAAATGAAAAATTCATCACAATTGAGATTGGGGCGGGTAGGTGGGGCTTAATTTCTTTCCTTAACATATAGTTTCTTTTCAACAACATGTTACTTAAGTACAAGTTTCACATAGTAGTTTCTTGTAGAGAAATAAGCATTTTGCAGTAAACCGCGCCCTTCGATTCACAACGAATAAAAACATTACCACAATTGAGACGAGGGCGGGTGGGCGGGGTTTGTAGTTATGCTTTTTTTTAATATATATATATACAATGTTATTTTCCAAAATCAGTAGTATATTAGGAGGCTAGTTTTTCATCTGCCAAAATAAGTTTTACCTATGCAAGTACTAGCCCCGCCCACCCGCCCTCTATTTTCTCCAAGGGTATGGCGTTTGCCAAAATCAGTCTTATCTGAGCAAGTACTAGCCCCGCCCACCCGCCCCTATTTTCTCACACGATGTGTCATTTGCCAAAATAAGACTTCTCTTAGCAAGTACTACGATTTGAGAAAATAAAGGGCGGGTGGGCATGTCTAGTAGGGGAGACCTGTCCAAAACCGTATAGCTAAGCGGAAATGCATATATCTCTGTAATAATACACAATAGAATTGTCAAATCAACATTTTTATTGACCAGTCTTATCAGGTACATAATTGTAAGAACAAAAATCGAAAGATGTAACTTATCTACGAAATAAAAATATTAAAACAAAAACACTTCTAATTACGGTTTTACCCCGTGTACTGTCCAAAACCGTACACAATATACGATTTTGCCCCAACATTCACACCAAACATTTAGTGCACAAAAAATCATCAAGATCATCGGAATGGTAACCTGTACAACCTTCATGGGCCCAACCATTACAGGAAGTACACTGTACCAACCCTCATCCATGCGACTTTGACCATATTTTTCAAGACAGTACTTTCTACTTTATCTTTATTTTTTTCTTGGTTTCTGACAGATTCAACTTTGTTTTCTTAATTTTCGACCGCGAATTACTTAGAAGCTCGTACGATTTTACCCCGTACGGTTCTGCTCCAAGGTAACCTCAAATGAACATTTTGCTCACCACAACAAACACAAAAAAAATCGGTTAAGACAAACACTGAAAATAATAGTAGAAACACATACAATGATATCCTAAATTACGTACTTACATTGAATTCCGTTAACGGTATACACTTGCAGTGGTTATTTAGTTAATAATTAGATTACAGCACCCGAAAAATATTAAATTTATTTAATTTTGTAACGAGCGTGGCAGCATTAACAAGTTTTTGTCGACAAATGGCTCTCATTGATAGATCCCATTGACAGAAGTTTGAGTGGCAAATTCAAACAACCAGCAGTTCTAAGGGCACTATACGGTTTTACCCCGGTATACGGTTTTGGACAGGTCTCCCCTACTTGTTAACATAAGTCTTATTTAGGCAGATTACATATCCTCTGAGAAAACAGGGGGTGGGTGGGCGGGGTTAGTAATTGATAAGATAAGACTGATTTTGGCAAATGACATACCCTCTGAAAAAGGTGGGTGGGCGTTGCTAGTACTTGCTAAATTAAGACTTATTTCGGCAAATGATATATCCTCTGGGAAAATAGGCGGCGGGTAGCATAATGCATTTTTAATCAAAGTATATTTGCTTATGCCCTCCAAAAAATTGAAGATGTCAACTCAAAATTGCCAAAATCAGTCTTATCTTAACAAGTACTAGCCCCACCCACCCACCCTCTATTTTCTCAAAGGGTATGGCGTTTGCCAAAATCAGTTTTATCAGAGCAAGTACTATGCCCGCCCACTCGCCCTTTTTTTTCTTAGAAGGTAAGTCATTTACCCAAATCAGTCTTATCTTAACAAGTACTAGAAGTATTACCCTCTGAGAAAATAAAAGGCGGGTGGGCGTGTCTACTATTTGTTAACATAAATCTTATTTGGCAGATGACATATCCTCTGAGAAAACAGGGGGTGGGTGGGCGGGGCTAGTAATTGATAAGATAAGACTGATTTTGGCAAATGACATACCCTCTGGAAAGGGTGGGTGAGCGGTGCTAGTACTTGCTAAATTAAGACTTATTTTGGCAAATGTTACATCCTCTGGGAAAATAGGCGGCGGGTAGCATAATGCATTTTTAATCAAAGTATATTTGCTTATCCCCTCCAAAAAATTGATGACGTCATCTCAAAATTGCCAAAATCAGTCTTATCTTAGCAAGTACTAGCCCCGCCCACTATTTTCTCAAAGGATATGGCGTTTGCCAAAATCAGTCTTATCTGAGCAAGTATACGCACTTTTCTTTTCACGACAAGAAATTAAAAATATGTTTAAAAGGGTAAATTTGTAGAGAGGTGTTTGGGAGAAAATTTACCATTTTTAACATGTTTTCAGTTTCTTGTTATCGGGAAAAAACAATATATTAAAAAGAAAAAAAACTGCAAAATGTAAGCCCCACCCACCCACCCTGTCTCTATTGGAACGCTTTTCCTTTGTTCGTCGTTAGTCAAGAAGGGCGGAGCTTAATTGCAGAATCCGTATTTTTCTAAAAGAATTACCATGTGAAACATGTTCTTTAGTGATAGGTTTTTGAGTATCATCTTATTCAAAGAATACTATGTATATTAAGAAAAATTAAAGCGAAAAATTAAGCCACATCTATAACTGCCCTAAATAGTAATGAAGTTTTCATTCGTTGGCAGACCTAGGGGCGGAGCCTAATTGCAAAATCCATATTCTCTTACAAAAATTTACCGTTTTAAACGTGTTTTAAGTTTCTAAGAATAAAAAAATTATCACAATTTAAATAGGGTGGGTGGGCGGGGTCTATATTTTGCATTTTTTTCTTAATATACATAGTATTCTTTGAACAACGCGATACTCAAAAATATGTTTTTAATTTCTTGTGAAGAAATAAGTAATTTGCAGTTAAACTCCGCCCCCGTAGGTCACGGGGAATAAAAAAATCATCACAATAGAGATAGGGCGGGTGGGCGGGCTTACATTTTGTCTTTAGATTTTAATATCACTGGTCTTCTTTTCACAATATGAAACTTAAAACACGTTTAAAATGGAAAATTTGTATAAGGAAATATTGATTTCGCAATTAGGAGTACTATTTTAAACATGTTTTCAGTTTCTTGTTATGGAGAAAAAGCAATATATTAAGAAGAAAAAAAAATGCAAAACATAAGCCCCACCCACCCACCCTGTCTCTATTGGGACGCTTTTCCTTTGTTCGTCGTTAGTCAAGAAGGGCGGAGCTTAATTGCAGAATCCGTATTTTTCTAAAAGAATTACCATGTGAAACATGTTCTTTAGTGATAGGTTTTTGAGGGTACCGCGTCAATTCGTCGTGCACAATTCGTCGCGCGACAATTGATCGCAAACAACTGATCGCAGCGTCAACTGGTCGCAGCGACAACTGGTCGCAACGACAACTGGTCGCAGTCACAATTGATCGCAACACAATTCGTCGCAAGTACAACTGGTCGCATGCGACAATTGATCGCAGGCGAAAAATGATAGCGTTTATAGAGAAATAAGTAATTGTTATGAATGAGGAAAATAAAATAATGTGCTATATTCTCAAAAATTTCATTATTTCTAAAAAAAAGTGTCAAAATAAATACATACGAGTTCCATAAAAACAGTAACTATTAGGCTCAGTTCCGACTAAACCAAAGTGCAAAAAAGTGAAAATATTGTAAAATATTTTTTTTAATGCTGACACATCTCGTCGGTATGCTACTGTAATGTTCATTTGGATTATTCGTCTTATTGATTAGACGCTCAAGTAAGTGATTCAAGCTTTTCTTCTCACAAATTTAAAGTTTGTCAATTAAACGAGTGAAAAAAATAGCTTTCAAAACGTGTTAGACGTCATTTTTCTTTAATAAAAAATGGTTTTAAAATTATTACAATTGTCAAA